GGTCACCAACACACCCCATCTGGCACAAAACACCAATCGTTAAAGCAGAGAGAAACCCTTAGATAGTATTTTATGCATCCTACTTGTAATCAAGCAGTCCAGAAAATCTCAGAGAATCCAGATGCAAAGGTCTAAATCTCAAAAATGCTGCTGGCAAGGCACTGTGTTTTGTTTGCACTATTTAAATATGTTTGCACATATTTAACTTATTTCGTAAGGAAAATTGAAGCGGTTAAGGAAAAAAAGCCACCACAAAAATCCTTGTCCCCCCACTCCTAATGCCAATCCCAGTTTGGGTTGCCAGAGCACCCAATGAGGCATCAGGACCAGACAAAGAGAAAAACCACAGAGCCACACACCAGCTGCCTCTCCCAGAAAAAAAAAAAAAAAGTCTGAATGGCATTAAACTGCTCATCAAACTAAAAACAAAGCCAGGTTAAACACTTCACATAAAGCGATCATGGTTCAGAGCACAATCAGCAGATCCCAGATAATTATCTTATTGGGAAGAGTCAGCATGCAGGGCATGGCTTTCCCTTGCAAGGAAATGGTGAGTATGGAGATAAGGGTGATCCAATTAACTGGACTTTATGGGGATTTCAAAATGGAATGTGGCAATGCTCTTAAGCACTTAAAGAATACCCAAAAGCTCTTAAAGAAACTGAGCTGCCATGGGATAAGAGGTAGAGCCCTCCTGGGATTAGTAACTGGTGAAAGGTCAGGAAGCAAAGAGCGGGAACACCTCTCAAGGGAAGGTCTGATGCATCCTACCTGAGTGCTCTGAAAAGGCCAGGACACAGCACTGTGACAGCATATCCATGCAGGATGGCCACCAAGGGCAGTGATGCCAACAGACAAAGGCAAAAAGGCCACGGTGAAACCTGTGCTTCTGGGCAGGGACAAGTGGGGCTGTGCTCTGAGGCAAAGGCTGGATCAGGTGATTCATTCACCTCTGCCCCTCTCTTGTGCAACACCTCAATGAAAGGAGTTGCTGGTGCCAAGCTCATCTGCTTCCAAAAATCATCAGGCAGCTCAAATTTGCATGCAGTTGTATTTCCTTGGGTTCCCTGAGGCTGCTCTTGAAAGAACCCACCTAGGCTGGTTTCAGAGGTAAATAAAGGGCAAAAGAAACAGATACAAGTGTGGGAAATGTAAGGATCAGACAGGGAAGAGAGCATGTGGGGAAGGAAATAACCCCACTCAGGGAAAGTGCTCACTGCACAGGCTGGAGCATGCAAGAGTGGCAGAAGGTCAGAAGTGCCAAGTCTCTGCTCTGCCAGCCACCTTCTGGTCCAGAAGGAGCAGGAGACACTGGAGTTTCGACTGTCTGGAACTCCCTGAGTGCTGGGTCAGCCACACTGCCCACGGTGGGACTGCTGAGGACAGTCACCATGGCTGGAGGCGTCTGTTGGCACCTGCAGCCACGTCCCTGGCAAGGTGCCCCAGGCAGACTCTCCTGGGGCTGGGGTGTGACTGGTGACGTGCAAGGTTATGGAAGGGTAAGGAATGGAGGGGTTTTTGTGAGCTGGGAGACAACTCCTCACCCCCAGACAGCAAACCTAAAAAAACACCCCCAAATGACCCCCGGAGGCTCTAAGCTCAGACTGAGCAGTGGCTGTGGTGAAGAATGCACGGGAAGGCAGTCAGTCCCACTGTGCCCTAGCCAGGGAGCAGAGGACAGCAACCATACTGCAGCACAGACCCACTGCTCCCAATATTCCCACTGCTCCTCACCAGCTGCTACTGGCACCCTAAGTACACTGTAAGAAGTGTAGCTGAGGGCTGCAGTTTCATCAGACCATGGCATGATCCTGGTCTGCTTTCAGCTGATGGAGAACCTGGGAGTCATCTCAAGGAGCCCATGGCAGCCCCCCAGCCTCACTGCTCACTTGGGACAAGCCATCTGGACCCCAGCAGCCACAAGTTTTCTGTAGCAGCTCCACCCCAATACCCCCAGCACCAGCATGTGCCTCAGTGCCAGGGCTGGCAAAAGCCATCTCACATGCTCAGCTCCAGGGGATCAAACAAAGCCATGGGCACTTAAGGCAGCTCATGGCTCCAAACAGAATGTAAGCAAAAATGCTCTCTACCCAGCAAAAGCCGCATTTCCCATAAGCAAAGGGGACTTGTATGAGGTCTGTAAGGAAAACTTTCCAGGGCAGGCAAGCCAGCAAGCGGAAGGAGGAAGGAGGCAGGCTACGTGTTCATAACCCAAGGGATTTCCTAGGGTTAGAGGAAAGGCTGGGACTGCATCTGTGTGACTCACAGCTCACTTTCTGAGCTGTGCTGCTGCCCTGATGCAAGCCCTGCTCCAACAGGAACCACTGGGCCATCATAGGTACCACGGAGGAACGTGGGAGGAATAAGAACAAGGATATTAAAAAATACCCCTGCACACTAACAACACTACCCAAGAGCTGATGGGAAAGGAGAATCCCCTTCCACCCACTGCTTTGTGTGTAGCTGAAAATATCCACTGGTACCACCAGATGGACAGGATACCCTGGCTCCCACTTTCAGACACAGCTCTATGAACAGCCTTCAAAGGCAAAATCCCCAACAAGAAAGAGAACAGCTCAAAAACGCAGCCCCAAATTTCTCCAGTGCCGAGTTGAGGTGCATTCACTGCTTACTCATTTCTTGCCAAATCTGGAGCTGCAGGGTTGGGCCCCCGCCCACCCCTCTGGCACAACTACTCTTTACAGCTTGGAAGCTATTTTTTTCCCACCCTGCTATCTAAAAAAGAAAAAAAAAAAAAAAGGCGTGAAAGCTTTTATCATCCTGAAAACATGCCAACTGCGAAGGCGACTCTGTGTCTCAGACGCCTGTTTCCTGGCAGATTTTAAGTCCTTTGCTCAACTGCTCGGATGGCGGGGGCAGGAGAAGCCTGCAGCAACAGGCTGTGAACTGGAGCTCTAAACACTCACATGTTTAACTGCTGCTAAATTCCTGGGGGACCAACAATTCCAAACAGCGGGCTCAGAGCTGCACACACACAGCCGAGTGGGATCCAAGGTGAAGGAACTGTGTAAATGTGTTACACAGTGATGCTGTGCATGCAGAGCAAGGGACACCAGCCTGGGTACAGGAGCTACTGAGGGGGGTCACTGGCCCAGTATTTCCATGAGGGGACATCTACCAGGTAGTAAAAAGGGAGGGTCACCCTGCTCAACATCTCTACCACATCAGTCACCCCTTCTCTTCCCCGGTAATGAGGCTCTGTTGGCTCCTAGAGGTTTGAAGGGAAAGAATGGAACCCAGCAAGGAAAAAGTGCTGGACAACTCCACTGCTGGTGTCCAAATTTCCAGTGGCCAGCTCTGGCTGTAGCCACCTAAAGGTGCTGGGAAATCGGGACCCTGTGTTGGTGCCACCCCAGAAAGACCTACACACACACAGCCCTTTGTGACAGTGATGCCTTTGGGGGCTCCAAAGTGCTTGGAGCTGGTTTTGCAGAGGCATATCCAAGTTTTGACAAGGTCCCAGGGATTTTTCCATACCATCACATCATTATCAAGGTGGACAGTAGGGACTCTCTGGCTTCCAAAGAAAGAAAAAAGAAAAAAGATAGCAGCACTGTCTGCCATTGTTCATTGTCTCAGAGTCTGAGTGAGCTTTTTTGCACATTAATTTTGTACTTGTTATTAATATTGTTGCTGTTATTGTTCCTTTTCTTATCTCGTTGTTTCCAGTTTTCCATCCTCCTTTGTACTCAGAATCATAAAATGAGAGAATTATACAATGGTATGGGATGGAAAGAACCTTAAAGGTCATCCAGTTCCAACACTCTGCCATGGGAAGGAACACTTTCCACCAGACCAGGTTGCTCCAAGCCCTGTCCAAACGGACCTTAAACACTTCCAGGGATGGGGCAGCCACAGCTTCTCTGGGCAACCTGTGCCAGGGCCTCAGCACCCTCACAGGGAACAATTTCTTCCCAATATCCCATCTAACTCAGCCCTCTGGGGTGTGAAGCCATTTCCCCTTGTGCTGGTCCTCCAGACCCTTGTCCACAGCCCTTCTCCTGCTCTTTGAAGCCCCTATAGGCACTGGGGGCAGGAGGGCTCAGTCTCCCCAGAGCTTTCTCTTTTCCAGGCTGAACAATCTCAATTCTTGGATGTCTTTGCCTTCTTCACCTCCCACCTTCTCTCCCTTTCAGCACAAGAAATGGCTGCACCTGGGGCTGGCCAGCCTGAGAGCAGCAGAATGGAGGATGGGACACAGTCAGCATCTCTCCATGGCCTCTGCCAGCAGAGGCACGGAGTGACAGAAATGACACTGCTCTGTGAGGAGTGGCATTTCTCTAACAGGCAGAGTCAGCAACAGTGTCTGCACTGCCACAGCCAAGAGGCACCAGACAAAGCCTTTGTTCAACAGTGCCAGCCTAGAGAGAACAGCAGCAGCACTGCTATTGAGGCAAGACAAGCAGGATCAAGATGCCAGCCACATCCATTGAAGCTGGTGTCAGGCACTAACTTGGGTCAGAGTCAACTGCAGCAGGCTGCTTTCCCAAGGTTAAGAAGCATCAGTAAACCTTTTTTGTGGTTCAAAAGACTGTATTGGTATTTTTGGGTGTCAAATCGGGACCGTATCTAATAGGGAGTGTCCCTGCCTTCAGCTGTCCCCCATGAAAATTCACTGGAGTTTTGTAAACATTAATGTTTGGTAAAGGAGAAGCCTGCTCCAGAGGTTCCCAATCCCAAAAACAACTGGCTGAAACAGGCCTGTCCTGCAGGCTGGACGTGTTTTGGGATGCTTCCTACAGGGCATAAAGGCCAAAAGAGGTAAGCATCACTCACAGGAAGCACGTGCTCCCAGGGCAGGAGGAAGGCAAGTCAGTGAGTTAGACACGATCTGCAGTCATTTCTCATTGCTTGCAGCAGTCTCCTGATTCACTGTACACATGGAAAAAACAATTATTTTAAGTCATTTTTCCAGAGAAGGAAATAAATTCATATTTCAATTCCTACTTACCAAAACAAGAGCCAGACAAACTCGGTGCTGTATGAAAATATGTTTATTCCAAAGTTAAATTTCTCACAATGTCTCTGTACAACAGCATTGGTCATGACAAACTCCAAAAAGCTTCCTGGGCTCCAGGGCTTGGGGTCCTGAACCATCCCAACAGAGTAAGCAAGAACCTCTTCTCAGAGTGTTAGGAAGAGGTGGGGGGAATGACAGAAAACAGATACATGGCCATTTGGAACCATTTCAGAAATCATACCTGCTCACAAGAAGAGCCAATGTATGAAGACACTTTGCAGGAATTAACGCCTGCACAAGAATCTCACAGAACACCCTGCTCCGTGCAGACTGCCTGGAAAGGAGCAGCTGCCCCCGTCACAGAGAGTTGCATTATTCCTGCAGACAGAAAGCAGGGCTGGTGGTTTTAATCATCTGCTGAACTGCTTCCAAGGACCAAAAAGGCTGGGACGTTGTGCCAGGGATGTGTTCCTCACAGCCTGCCATGTCTGGGCCCAGCTGAAGCTCTAAAGGGGTTCCCCTTCTTCCCCCTGCCTCAGCCTCTTGGAGAGGTGCTCGCTGATGGCCAGGAGGGGGTTGGCTCTGTACTGGGGATCGCTGATAACCTCGTGAAACCGAGCCACTTCCTGGTCTCTGAGGAGAGAAAAATAACACACCAGTTCTCTAAGTGCCTCATGTGAAAGGAACTGAGCAGATAAGGACCAACTCATAAAGCAACAGATTTCTGTTGAGACAGAGTGATCCTGGGTGTAAATCTCAGGGAAAGACAGTGCAAGAATAAACCTAATTAAGCCAAGGGCAAAGCTCAAATTGCTGCCAGCTTCATGGGAGCCAGAGACTTTGATCTCATGCCACAGAGACACAAACAATCACAATAGTGTCCAGCATCACATGGGAATGGCGGTTTTTTTAGAGCTTTTCCCTAGTAAACCAGAAACAAGAGACTGTGGATCTGGTGAATCACCAGGAATGAAGATGACTTCAGACTGCAACAGCACAAAATCAAATTCTCTTTAGAGAGCTCATCTACTGACTGTCTTTATTGCTGAACACTGAGCCTTGGTAATCCTACATGCAACACTAGCTGGACACCATGGGAAGAGCATGACAGAATTACTTTTGCATGCCTGGTCACAGCTGCTTCCTGGGGAAATGGCCTTCTCTTAAAAAGCAAGCAAGCAGCGAGGGACAAGAACAGAGGAGGAGTATTTAAAAAAAAAAAAACCCTGTGAGTTTTCACACAGCCACACCCACTACAGCATCTTCCTCTCCCTCAGACTGCCAGGCTCTCCACAGCCTTGCCAGACGAACACTTGTAGCACTCAGCTGTTTCCCTCTCAAGCACAGCCGTTCCCTTCAATGCTCCTGGCCAGACAAACAGAGAGAGGAGCCAGTGCTCCTGAAGATGGGGTTGGGGTAATAAGGTGAGGTTTAGGGAACCTCTCATCCCAACTAATACCTTGGGAAAGAAACCTCAAAACCTTCCTGCAAGTTTTTCCCTCCCAAGAAGCACAGACTTGCCAGACCACCAAAAAGTAAAGCAAGGCACAACTGAGCAAGAAAGGCATCCCAGCACCAATACTGGCCTGCTTCTGACAGAGACAGTATTCACAGAGAGCAGTGCTGGATCTGTAACCTGACTGTTCAGCCTCAGTTTGAAGCTGAATGGCTCAAAACTGACAGAAATCCAGGAAACAAGAAAGCAAACACTGCCAGATCACAGAGCCTAGCCCCAGGAGAGCTGTGCTGAGAGAAAATTCAGTTCTTGATAGCAGTATAAACTATCTAACAGATAGGGAATAAGGAGTTGCCAGATTAAGTCCGGGAGTTACTTGGACACATTTAAGCTCTCCATCCTTGTTGATACTCAAAAGCCATGTGGACTTGGGTCTTGAGCAACCAGTTCTAGGTGACCCTGCTTGAGCACAAGGGTTGGACCAGGTGAACCCCATGGGTCCCTTCCAGTCTCAACCATTCCATGAGGTTCAGCAGGAACTGCACACTGACAGCTGGGTACTTACAGGAGCTGATGTTTCTGAGCTTGTTTCATCAGACAGAAGTCTGCTGGTTCTGCCTTTGCTTTTATGTGGCTGTGGAGAGGAGAAACAAAACGAGTGTTAGAGCATTAACTTAGCAATGGCTGTGTAGATGGAAAGAGTCCAGGGATTTTGCATCTGCCTTTGCAGAAAGGACAGGTAATTAATTGTCCTGCACGGAAATTGTCCTAAAAGGCATTTATTTCCATAGCCAGGCATTGCAGGGAAATGCAAAGTCTTTCCACCCGAGGCTGACAGAGCAGGAAGCATTACAGGAAAACCAGATCATTCAGTGCCAGAACTGGTCATTAGCTGTCAATGCCCAGATCACTTTCTGCTGATCACTGACCTCCAGGTCAAATTGATCCTGTTGCTTAGAGAAAAGATTCCATGGAACCTCCCCTCCCCACTACACATGTCACCTCTGCACAGCTCACGTTCCCTGCTGACACCACGGAGCTCCAGCCTCTACAGCCATCCCTTACAGGGATACTCAGCAAGAGGAGGGAGCCAGCCCTGCTCTGGTTCCTGCAGTAGGATCACTGGAATATAACACACTGTAATGCAGGATGGTGCACTATGTGCAGAAGAGGCACAGCAACAGATACAGATCTGCCATCTCTCTATGCACTCCTTATTCCTGGGCAAAGTCCCAGGAGACCAGAGGTGTAATACCATCCCTTGTGATGCCCAATGCCAAGGGGCAGCAGAGATTTACCACAAAGCCAGCACTAAACCTCAGAAAGGGACACGCAGGAAGCACAGAGATTGCTTTGGGGACTTCTGCTGCACAAGGGGAGTTGCTGGTCGAACTGGACAGTAAGAAAGGAGAAGAAATTTCCATTTTTCGGGATTACACAAATACAGAAGTTAACAGGAGAAAGAGGCTGGGAAAAGGCTCTGCCTCCAGCTCCTCCTCAATTCGTCCTGAAGCAGAGCCCCAGCACACAGGCCAGGGGGGAGAAAGAGGGCCTGTATCCCACCTCTCTGTTGGACCAAGGAGGAATAACCCATACTAGTGGGGATAGCTGGGGGCTATGGCCACCCCCTGATCTGCCCCAAAGGTCAGGAAACACAACAATTTCTTCAAGACAGCAGGATCTGGTCTCTCTTTACAGTGACCTCCTCTTCCTATTTCCTACTCTGGCATGCCATTCTCCATCCTCTTCTTTTGCACTTTTCCCCCCCCATTCTTCCTTTCTTCTTACTCCCCTTGCCTCACATTCCTTCACGTCACTCATCTCCATCCCCATCTCTATTCAATCAGTTCCTGCTCATTTTCCTCTCCTCATTTTTAACAGCTCAGCACAGGAACAATTTCTGGTCCCAGTTTGCCTGGAATGCTCACAGAAGCTCAGGAAAACTGTTTCTCAAGCTGGATGGCAGCCCTTGGTCACCAGAGCAGGGCTTGCCAAATCTGTGTGTGCCACCAAGCCATGTCGGTCCCTTCAGAGGTGAGCAGCTCTGCAAAGGGTGACAAAGCCTAAAGGAAAGTTATTCTAGAGTACATTCCCCGCTGGATTTCCCCTCAAAACCACCAGCATGCTGCCTGTTCACTTGGACCCTGTTAGCAGCTCAGCTTCATTACACTTCATTGCCTTCATTCATTATAAAACAGAATAAAAACCTCCCTGTAATGCGCTTTTACCCTGCAGGAGATCAAATTCCTGGAGAATCTAATCTTTTATTAATACTGCTGACAAATCACCAGAGTATTACCCTTCCTTTCTGTAATGATTCAAATCCTATAAAAGCCTCCTCTGATTATTTCAAACACTTCTCCTATACAGATATTCAGGAAGCCAGAAGCCAGCAAGGGGAAGCTCCTCCATGGCAGTACCAAGAGGAGCTGGTTTGGGGTTAGCAGGTCACAGGCAATGCAGGTGACATCAGCCCATGTCAAACTCCCACCTCCACTGTGCCAACTTGGGCTTCTAAAGGGAGAGACTTTTGGCAAGGGTCTGGGATAGGGAGAGAGGGAGCTGACAGTGCACAGGGAACAGCCAAGTCAGCCGTGCTCTTGGCTGAAGTCACACTACAAGTAACAAAGATTCTGGACAGAACACAAAGGGTGCTCCTCAAAGGGCTCCAAGTGCCTCAGGATAAAGTCTAGATGAAGGTCTGGAAGGATTCAATGTCAGGCTGCAACATCACAAGATGAGGTTATCAGGTGAGCTCAGCAGCATTACAATATGGACATCCACATGCCACTCCTGCACCTCCCAGGACATCTGGATGCTCCCAGCCTGTCTCATGCCAAGCCTCATCCAAGCAATATGGTTCCCCTCTCAGCTGTGGGTTCAGAAGACACATTTCATCTTTTTTTCTGGTGTCAAGTGAAGCATGAAAAGAGTTAGAATAGAGTTGAGAATGAGACCCTGCTCTCCTGACCAATGCCTGTAGCTACAAGCTGGGCTGGAGGACATTCCACCCCACAGCAAGAAGGGAAACACACAGCCCATCTCTAAATGGCACATACCTTCTGAGAGGCTTCCTTCCTCTGCCACCTGTGGTCAGGTAAGAGAGCTCAGGCAGGGCTTCCATCAAGGGCTGCATGTCTCCCACCACAGGTGTTGCTTTCCGCTTTGCTTCAGCTTTTTGCTTTTGTCTGGCCATCTTTACACTTTCTATTTCTGCATCAGAAACAAGACATTACTGGAAGAAAGGGAAACACCTGCAGGAGGTAACCCTTGAGCTATGAAGTTCTAAGTTGTTTTATCATTTACACAGGCCAGAAGTGATTTAAACCAGGGAAAAATAATGAACAAAATGCAGCTGGGTCATTCCCTCCATTGATGTATTGGCTTGTAACTATATACATCCCTTCTGACATTACAGTGGGAAGTGAAGTTCCCAGAGAGATTTTGTCTGTTTCCATCACTTACACTGTTCATTGCTCAAAGCAAAATAGCACAGGAGTCTTGGTGTGGCAAAAAACACACAGACCTTGCATGGAATTGGGAAACACGAGGGAAACCTAAATACAGTCAACTCTACATCTGGCATTAAGCAGGCACAGCCCTCTCTCTGCATTTCTTTTGGGACCAAACAACAGTCTCCTAGTACAGACAGAAAAGATGGACTCAATGTCAGTTGTTTACTTAGTTTGAAGCAAGTCAAGGTTCCACCTTCATGACTCATGGTGGAGTGCAAGCAGTCAGATGCTGGATAAACTGGACCCTTGGAAAAGCACTGCACCAAGTGGCAGATGCAGATGGCTTTTCTCAGCTCCAGGTTTCCCAGTCTCCCAGCAGCAGCTCTGACAAGGGTGTGGGCACACAGAGCTCCACAAATGTTACATCTGTCTCCTTCTTTGCCTTAGGAGGTGGGCATTAAAAGCCACAGGCTTCTGTCTCTGATATAGCAGTAAGTCCCACAGCTGCCCACACTTCTCAAAGCCAGCAGCTTCCAGGGTGAGCACCAGCAAAATATGTCCTTTAGGACAGCCCACAAAAGCCCAGCACTGCTACAAGCCTCTAGCTGAATCCAAGATTCAGGTCCCACCTGACCCACAAGTGCCTTGGACAACTGCAAGGATGTTCCTCAGTGCTGAGCTACAAACTCTTGGTGTGGACATGACAGTGTGCCAGAAGCCATGGGGCTGAGCTGGTGACACAGAGAGGCCAACAGCTCCCAAGGCAGCACAGCCACAGAAGCCAGCAGTATTTTTGGTGGGAGCACAAAAGCAGCCAGTCCCACTTACAGACCACAATCCTGGGTCTAACCCTGCTCCCACAGTCAAGGAAGCAGAACTCAAATTCAGGGGCTGGCTCCTTTAATACCTTTCCTTGCTTGTTCTCCAACTCAGCTGAGTGGAAGAGCGACAATTTTTCATAAACTACGTTCTGCTGTACATGGATGTTTGTGACAAATCAGGATTGGAAACACTTCTCCTCACAGCAATCCCTGCCAAGAACACAGCTTTCTGTTCTGCATTACTTCTTTTTTTGGTCTGGCTTTATGAAGCTGACTACTTCAGTGCTTTCATAAACATTATGTGCTCAAAATTTTCAGACACCTGATTCTGCGCAAACATCCCAAATTCTTTTCCTATGAAGTCTTGTCCATCTGAGGAGCCATGCAATATATATATTTTTAAATGTGCATACTTCTAATGTCTGAAGCATTACATAAGTTTTTTCCCCTCTCTAGTCTCTCCTAAGATTACTTATTGGAATGGAAGAAAGTTTTGCATTTGCACTACTGGGCTGATCTTTCGTTCCCAGGGTCTTGGCATCCAGTGTCACAAAAGCAGCCCTGGGACAAGAAGAAACAACAAACTCAGATTTAGAAAAAACAGAGATGCAGTGATAACTTCAGCAGTCCAAGCTGGGCTCTCTTCTGGGGGACAAAAGCACTTCCTCCACAAAGAACTGGCAGAGTTTTTAGGTACTTCTGTGCCTGTAAAGCACTTCTAACATCTAGTATCTCCTAAGACAGATAATTTGGCCTGGAGTTTACTGTCTTGGTGGTCTCCTCAAAGCAAAGCCTCTGCATTTCACTCGTATTCCCTCATCTTTGTCATTTCAGAGCCAAAAGAAAGGGAAAGAGGCCACAGCAGGGCCAAAATAGCACACATGATTTTGGGAAAGATTGATGCTACAAAGGCATCAAGGAAGGCTGGATTAAGACTGTGTAAGGATTCTGCTCCTGGGCTTTTTTAAAGCAGCTGACCTTCACTAGCACATCCATCTGTGTTCTGTGTCCAAGCCAGATGTCAAGGCACTCAGAAGCTGTTGGCTGGTTGTTAGGGAGGAGGTTTCCTTCACACTCATATGTGTTAAAGTGGTACCTTTTTATCTAAGAAGAGCTAGACACACCTTGATGGCAATTGGTGAAATCAAAGGTTAATGAACTTGGGCTCAGAGCTCAGGCACAGAGAGCATTTGGTGCAGCAGAAAGCCACATCCTTCTGCCCCAAACACAGTCTGCATCCAGCTCTGCTGGGCAAGAAGGTGTTAGCAGGAAAGCCTGTCCCAAGAACAGCTTCAGATGACACAAGGAATCTCTCTGTTTCACTGGTAGGCCAGTATCCATCCACAGCATTCCCTACTGTGCTAAGACACTCAAAGCAAAAATAGGAAAGAGAAGCATTTCTGCCATGGGCTGGGTTTGTTTAGCTCATATTTCAGTGTCTCCAGAAAGGCCAGACTGTCTGGTAAGTGGGTTCACTGACCTGCAGCATGTGGGAAAGAGCAGGAACACAACCAGCAGTGTCCAGAGTTCTCCCTTACCGAGGGGGCAGGAGAGCCCACAGTAAGGTCTCACCACAGAGGTTTGGGATTAGCTGGTGGCAGCATGGAGCTCAGCTCCAGCCTGTCCTGCCACCCCCACGGCTCCTGGGTGAGGAGCAGCTCCACTAGACAGCTACTCACATCTGTACTGGAGTTTTGAAAGATAGGAAAATATGCTAAGCTTACATGGGCACAGTGCCCTTCTGCATAAACAAAGGGTTGATGTAGTCACATGTATTACACATGGTAAAAAATCAGAAGTGGAACTGGGACAATGACTAAGTCTTGGTGCTCAACACTGAGAAACAATACGTGGAACTTTTATGCAGTCCTGGGGAGGGACGAAGATTTCTGAGAAGCATTCAGCTTCTTCCAGCACTGTCACCCAAGCCCAGAGTACAGAGATCCATCAGAACCATGTTCCCTGATGCCCTGTCACAGGAATACTCACTCTGCAGCCATCTCTCCTTCCTCAGCTTCATCTTCTCTTTTTTGGAAAGAACTGTTTTTTCTTCCAAGCCTAGAAGAGAAGAGACATGAGATGGAGCCTGGCTCCTGCATAACAGATTCTGTTCAACCCTTGATGCTTTTGAACTTGCTGACACAGAAGGCAGGCTGTGATCCAGAGGCTACCCTGCATCCCAACTTTTAGCCAGACAAACCAAATCTGCCTTGCTCTAAGTTAAAAAACAAGAAACAAGTAAGCAGATCAGATCATGAGCACAGGATCACAGAATAGTATGGATTGGGAAGGACCTCAAAGCTCATACCATTTCAAACCCCCTGCTGTGGGCAGGGACACCTTCCACTATCCCAGATTGCTCCAAGGCCTGTCCAACCTGGCCTTGAACACTTCCAAGGATGGGGCAGCCACAGCTTCTCTGGACAACCTGTGCAAAGGTCTCTTCACCCTCACAAGGAGAAACTTCTGAAATATATCCACTTGTAAAAAAGACTAGTACCTACTATTTACCAAATTCAGTATTTGGAAAGCACTGATATCCAATACAAAGTAAAATACTGTCACAAGTATTTTTATGGGAGATCTGCTGCAAGTGCTATAAAATTATCTTATCTCGTATGTTTAAAACAAAATTGACTTTAGCCAACTTTTCTTCTGAAATGTGCTGTAAATACCAGAATTCCAACAGAGTAACAAGCTCCCCAAAGACCACTGCATTCACTTTAGCTTATTCTTAAGTCTGGGGAAGAAAAAGCACCTCCTTTTTCCCCCAAAAAGAAAGAGGAGTAAGGAATTCAATACATTTATGAAAACAACTCACTAAGGACAACTTTTCTGAAGTTACAGATCCTTTAGGATGATTTAAACAAAACCATCCTTTAGTAATTTCTTAAGAGCAGAATAAACCTGCTGGGTCTAAGGGGACCTTTCCATAAAACTAACAATCATCACCAGGTTTTGAGTTTCTAAGACAGGGAGAATGAAGCTGGAGCTTCCACAGCCTCGTTTCCCAGAAAAATAAATTCCCCAAAAAGCACTTACTAAAACCTCTTTTGTTGTGGTGTCAGAGCAGATGCTGAAACAACAAATTACATGGTCCAATAACCAACTCTGAGTTACGCCCACCCCGATCAACCCCCACTTCTGTGGTTTCAGGGGAAAAAAAAAAAAAGGATCAATTATAGTCAATTATCACATGTGTATTATTATTATGATGGAATTATTATCCCACCCCAATGATCTCCAGAAAGCTGCCTGAACAGGACACCACAGCTGCTCCAGCCTGCCCAGATTTCAGCCATGGCAGTGCTGGGAAGATCTGCCCCTCATCTGGAAACACACTCATGACTTCACTGGAAAAATATCACCTGGCAGCATTTGTTAATGAAAAAAAGGCCCAATTCAGCCAGCTGACCTGGCTAACTCTAGTAATAATAACAGCAATTCAGGTTTGGGTTGGTGTTTTTTTCCTCACAGTAGTGGAATATTTAAGGAAACACAAAAGCTGTTTTCCTGGCAGGAACCCAACCTTGCTGCTGCCTGGGGGAAGGTGGCCACAGATAACCAGAGGGTGCCTGAGGGAAAGGAGCTGCATCCCTCCTCTGCCAGCAGCCAGTTCCTGCCCTTTTCCATCACTTGGCTCCCTAGACACTCCAATTTCCATAGCCTAGCCTGCCCTCAGAAGGCTGTTCAGCTGTCTGAAGGTGCAAAGTTGTGTTTGGCAGCTTCCAGTTGCGAAGGCGAGTGCCAAAACCGCTGGAAACCCACTGGAGAACAGTGAAGGCAGAATTGAGCTGGTTAATTAACAGCACAGACTGTCCCCAAGATTGTCTTTTATTTTTATTTAGCTAGAAGCACCTCTGAGATCAAGCCAAAGCACAGCTCCATTTTAATTATTTTCCTGTGAAATCAGAAGGGTTTGAATCCCCCTCTTCAGCCATTGCACAGGTAATTTAACAACACTTGCCTTTGAAACCCCATGCACAGAGTAAAGGTGAGCAAACCCCATTACATTACGGGTAATTTCCATCCTGTAAACTTGACAATTATTCATTTTAGTGAGAACATGGTCTTTTCTTTCTTCCCTCTGATCTGTGCAGTACAAGACATGCCAAATACAAACAGGTTAAAAAAAACCACAATAGCTTTTTGTTGCCTACATCAAACATTTGGAACTACTCCTGGCAATCTTCAGGACCCTGTTTCCGTGACAGAGAAGCAGATTTTTGAGGATGGCTTTCTTAATTTCAGAAATCTCGAGGTTTTTTTGGTAAAGGACTCAGACTAAAAATAAAAATTGAACACATATATATAACTATTTTTCATAAAGAACTCCTTAAAATAAACATGTCTATAAATCCCACCTTCGAAATTCCCATTTTATCCTTTCTAAGCATTCAGAAAGAAGCTGGACTGAGTTAAAGCTGTAACACTACAGGCTTCCCTGCCCCAAGATCCCACTATTTAATTTTGGCTTCACAACCAAGAGGGCTTGACAGTTCCAGGAAACTACATTACTTGGAGCATTGGGCCATAAACAGAAATATTCAATAAATCTGTGCAATGCCACATGGACAGAGGAGGGTCCTTCAGCACTAGACATTTGCTTCCCCCTGCAAAGCTCCACCTGGGCTATGAGACATTAAGAAACAAAATCTAAGATTCATTATTATTCCAAAACCCCAATGATACATAACAGTAAAGCTGTTGCTGCTCAAAACATAGTATTTTGGCAAAGTGAAGTTAAATAATAACAGATGTTTTAATTTTAGCCTCACTTGGATAACAGCAAGAATGAGCATATGCCTACAGCTGTGGGATGAGTTCATGAAGAAAACCAGACTAGATCCAAAATCAGAATCAGGGTGTGGTTTGGGGTTGTTTTTTTTTTTAAATTACAGTGTCACTTGTAAATTGTGCACTACTCTTGTCCAATGAAAGGGCCTGGGAAATGGTAAGGACAGTCTCCTGGGGCACAAGCAACAGTGCTGTGACCTGGCAGCTGTCAGTGCACAACCCCTGAAGGTGTTCTTGTTCTAAGAACAGAGTTGAGAAAGAGTTGGACAACACGGGCCAGGCAAAAAGCCAGCCAAGATATCCTCTGGCAGAGAAGGCTCCACAGCTCCCTTCCCTCATCCCACCAACAGCTCTCAATCCCAAATCCATGACCTCCAGCTCCACTGCTCCCAAAAGCATTGATGCAGAAGGGTCACTAGTATCACCAAGGCTTGGAGGTGGCAAGGACAGAGGCAGGGGGCTGTATCCAAGCTCTTTGTCCTCTTGCTGTTAGGGGAGCCCCCAGGGACACCTTGGTACCTGTATGTGGGCACAGAAAACACATGGTTGGGTTTTGCCCAGTCCAAGCCCTGTCACGCCCTGAGCAGGTTTGGGAACCACTGCTGGAAGAAAAGGTGCCAGCTCCTGCTGGGCCAGGACAGGCTTCTCCATGGATATAGCATTTAATTTGCTTTTCACACTTAATAATTACAAGGAATGAAAGCACTCCTCCTGCTGCAATGTGGAAGGCATCCTACAAAAAGTGGGATCTGCATTCTCTGCCCCTTCAGATCCCCTAGTTATTTGAAGCAAAGCCTGGCTTACCACTGGAAACCCAGAGCAGCAGTGCAGCTCGTGTCCTCACACCAAGGTCAGGGCTCTGGTAAACATCCCCAGGCTCCAAGCAGCCCCAGCAAGTGCTCCCAGTGCAGCAGAGCTCAGGCTCAGCTCACAGAAGCACACAAGTGATGTTCCATTTGAGGCACATCCCCTCAGGAGATGATCGGGAAGTCACAATCTGCACAGCAGGCTGTGAAAGGTGACTTCAGACACAAAGTCTGTCCTTCCACACGGTGTCTTCAGCACTGCTGGCACACTCAGCCCCTGCCACACGGTAAAAGCACCTCCTCTGCCCAAGGAGCATTTCCATTTTAGGTCCTCATCCTTAACACCTGCATGTTCTCAGCAGTCAGTCACAGACAGGCACACAGAGGATGCTCAAGGTGGCTCAGTGTGTCACTGCTCCTAAAGCCACTTGTGCAGATGAAGGTTATTTTTATAACCAAGGCTGAAATGCCACAGGGAACCCAGATTTCAGAGCCAAGCACACCACGAGCACTGCAGAATGCCTTGTCTGAGACAGGAGCTCGGTATTGCTATTTCAGGCTCAGAGAATCAAAGAAATCATAGAATGGTTTGGGCTAGAAGGGACCTTAAACACTAACTCCTTACCAACCTCTGCTGTAGGGAAAAATAAAAAGAAAGGTCTCAGTACTCCTTGACATGGAAAACTTCAAAGCCCACAAAACAAATGCAGAAAGGCTCACCCACAGACAGGTGCCCATGTGGAAACACATGCCATGTCAGGGACCTTCCAAGACCAGGTATGATCTTCAAGAAACAGAGATTTCCAGCTTTGGGAGAATGAGTCTGCTTACAAGAAAAGCCATTTTAACCCTCCCTCCCACCCCTTTCTATGAACATGCAACAAGTGGGTGTACGTTTCTTCCAACAAAAGAGTTCTCCTAAAGTATAGTAAGTTACACAGTGCAAATATTCTTATTTGTCAAGGAATGGCATGGCAAAAAGTTGACTTTTTCCTTGCTGTCTCTGGCATGTATATGCTCTCTGTGCAAATACATAAACAATTTAAATACTCGTGATTACAGTGAATTGAATTTTATGCCCAGCAGCTCTCAGCAAATTCTGCTGCAGCTTCCAGCCTTACAAAAAGTCACTCAGCCACAAGAGCAGCAGAGGCTACAGCATCAGTGCACCAACCCTGGAAACACTCAAAAGTTGTGTGGATGGGGGACATGGCTTAGGGGCACACACGGCAGCGCAATGGGAATGGTGGGACTCCCAGAGCTTTTTTAACAATTCTATGGCAATTCTATGACAATTCTATGGTAAGAATGGCAAAGCCTTCTTGCAATCAAGCTGGTCCAAGGAGCTGTAGGTCTGCAGCAGCCTCGGATTTTCCACACTCAGCCAAGAAACCTGACCATTCCAACATTCTGCCTTAACACTGTGAGCAGAGAAACCCCACCAGAGGCTTCTGAGGGCAACTTCAGAAAGAAGAGAACCAACCATGCTTTCTTTGCTTCCACCACCACATAAATAAGCCCAAGAGTCCCATCTCCAAGAAGTGCAGACAGATCTGAGGCCAAATGCTGCTTCAGGCAGCACCAGGGAAGCATGAACCCCTCCCTCATTCAGAGGAAATAATGCTGGCTGGCTCAGGATATTCCTGAAGAGTAGAAGTTGGTGAGCTTGTACAGTGGCATTAAGCATTGACATCCAGTTAAAGCAGCTTCCTC